TGGCAGTTATAGCGGCGACATTAAACCTGGCGTGTGGGTCAAGCGCTCTGCTGGTTTACGGGCAGATGATGATTGGTTCGATGGGAGAACATTCGAAGAATGTGCAAGACCAATTAGCTTTGTTGCTAGCCCTAGCAAAACTGCTGGGCGTGGTGGTTGGACTCGCTGTCGTTGAGAGCTGTGATCGCCGCCGCTTGCTAGGCTTGGGAGGCGCATCCTGTCTGATTTGCCTGCTGGTGGCGACTGTTGGCGCCTTTGCGAATCTGATGCCCGTGGTCCTCGGCGGCATATGCGGCTTCCTGTTCTCTTTCTTCTGTTCTTGGGGCACTGCGACCTGGGTGGTGGTGGCCGAGCTGACCGCCGGTTTCGGCCCCAAGTACGGTAACGCTTCTCAGGCAGCGGCGACCGCGATGATCTTTCTTGCCGGGGGGGCGACAGAATATGTATCCCCCACAGTTTGGGAAGTGTTCGGTGATTGCGGAATGCTTCCATATGCGGCAGTTTGCCTCTGCATGATCCTGTTCAGCTTCTTGATGCTGCCAGAGACGAGGGGGTGTTCCTTGCAAGAGTGCACCCAGAGGGTAATCAGCAGCAGCTACAATGTCGTCAGCGTCTCTTATTCGGATCTTGAGTCAACTGATTCGGATCTTGAGTCAAGCTCGGGGGCGCCATAGATTTTCACTCGGGGTTGAGCTGTCGAGCTCCGTATAAGGCCTGCCATGTAGAATCTCGTGCCACAAGCAGGTGAGGCCCGGGTGAGGCAATGGAGGCATGGATGGAGGGCGTTGCCAAATTATAGAGTCTTTATTCGTTTGTTTTACAAGTTTGCCTAGTGCGGTGTTCCGAGTTTGGCCCGATACTGCGTGCCGAGCTTCGCCATGCACTAGTGGTACTGAACACATTTTGTGTGTCTGTTTTTTAATGTTATGATGAGCTTGCCCTGGGATCGGGCACGTGAGCCCCACCATGCAACAGACTGCTCCTGCTCGGCCACGCTCGTGGGGTGGAGCATGCTTGGGGATGCAGAAGAAGAGGCACTTGTGTACATATATCTATATATGCATATATATATATATATATAAATAAATATATGTATATATATTGTATATATATACACATATATATATAATATTTGTATATATATATATATATATAGAAACGGGGGCCGAGGTCCCGGACCCTGACCGCAAATGTGGGGCCTGGCGCCGGGAGCCCTGCCGGGCGCTTCGGGGGCCGTCCAAGGTCGCCCGAAGATGGCCTCGGAACGCTCGAGAACGCGCTCTGGTGGCTCCGAATGCCTTTCCAGACGACTCCCATGACGCCAGGAAGGCCCCCGAAGGCCCCGAAGACGCCCGAAGAGGCACCCCGAGAGAGCCCCAATGAGCAAAAGTCGTCGGTTTCCCGTAGGGGAACTGATGTTTTTGGCGTGTTCGCCTTTGGGGCTTCCACTGCGTCCAAGACGGCCCAAGAGGCACCCAAGCTGGTCAAGGATGCCCCCAAGAGAGCCCCAAGACGGCCCACGAGGCGCCCAAACCGCCCGAGAACGCCCCAAGGCGTCGCCCAAGACGGGGACGAGGAACTGGAAATTTTCGTCTTTGGGCCCAAGAGACCCCCAGGAGACCCCAAGAGGCTCCAAGAAGCGCCCCAGAAGCCCCAAGAGGCCCCCATGAGACCCGAAAAAATACCAAAAGAGGCCCCGAAGACGCTCCAAGAGGCAACCCAATAGAGCCCCAAATATGCAAAAATCGTGTATTTCCTCTTGGAAAACTGATGTTTTTGGCGTGTTCGCCTTCTGGGCTTCCACTGCGCCCAAGACGGCCCAAGAGGCACCCAAGACGGCCGAGGATTCCCGCAAGAGGGCTCCAAGACGGCCCACGAGGGGGCCAAGACGGCCCACGAGACGCCTAAACCGCCCAAGAACGCCCCCCAGGAGCCCAAGAGGCATTTCTGGGGAGCCTCCTCAGCGCCCCAGGAGGGCCCAAGACGCCTCCCAGGATCCCCCAGAATGCGAAAGGATGGTCCAAGACGCTCCCAAGCAGCCCAAGTCAGCCTTCCGACGGCTCGAGGCTCCTAAGAGACCCGAAGAGAGGTCCGAGAGGCGTCCCAATACGGCCCGAAGAGGCCAAAATCGTAGATGTTCATATGTTTTTCAATGTTTTTGGCTTCTCGTGTTTTCGAGCTTCCAATGGTCCAAGAACGTCGAAGAGGCTCCCAAGACCACCGCAAGACCACCCAAGAGACCCTCAGGACGGCCCCAAGACGAGCCAAGAAGGCTCCAAGATTGCCGAAGAGGCGCCGAGGACAGCCCCGGACCACCCCAGAACAGGCCCCAAATGGGCCCAAGAGCGGGAACAGGAGGCTTCCAGAGACCTCCGATAGGCTTCCAGGGCCCCCCAGAGACCCTCAACACACCTCCGATCCTTGAGATGCCCCAGAAAGATTCCGACGAGGCTCCAAGAACAGCCTAAGAGAGCTGCGAGAGCCGTCCCGAGAGAGCCCGAAGAGGGTAAATCGTTGATTGCGAAGGCCTTACGGCCAGTGCCGCCGACCCTGAGAACGACGAAGATGAAAACGAGGGGGGGCAGAAGGGAGGAGGATGAGTGGGAGGTGGAGGAAGGGTGGGGAAGGTGGATGAGGGAGGAGGAGGGGGGAGAAGGATGTGGAGGAGAAGCAAGAGGAGGAGAAGGAGGCAGAGGAGAGCAGGAGGAGAGGGAGCAGAGGGGGGGGGAGGAAGAGGAGGAGGAGGAGGAGGAGGAGGAGGAGGAGGAGGAGGCAGAGGAGGAGGAGGAGGAGGAGGAGGAGGAGGAGGAAGAGGAGGAGGCCAGAGGCTTTCTTGGGACAGCCTGGGGCTCTCTTGAGGCCGTCTTGGGCCGTCCAGGACTCCTCTTGCGCCGTCTCGAGGCACTCTTGGAGGCTTCCTGGGCAATTCGGGGCTCTCTTGGGCTGTCTTGGGGCAATCTTGGGGGCCTCTTGGGCCGTCTTGGCGGCTTCTTGGGCCGTCTTGGGGCCCTCTTCGGCCATTAGGGGACCCTTTGGGGGGCCTCTTGGGCCGTCTCGGGGCGATCTTGGGGGCCTATTGGGCCGTCTTGGCGCGTCGGGAAGCGGAAGAGGCAAGAACGCCAAAATTTGTCAAAAACGTATCGGAAATCCATGAATTTTGCCTCTTGGGGCTCTCGTGGGAAAACTCCTGGAGGCCTCTTGGGGCGCTTTGCATGCCTTTTGGGCCGTCTGGAGGCCGTCAAGGCGTACTGGACAGATCGTTCGGCGATTTTGGGTTCTCTTGGATTGTTTTTGGGGCCTCCTGGGGCACTCTTGGCCCGTCTTCAGGCTTTTTTGGGCTCCGGGACTCCCCAGGGGGGCGTCGTATCTGACCCCCCCCCGGACCCCCCCCCCACCCCCCACCCCCCCTGGCGGGGAAGGGATCGAAGGGAAGGGGCTTTCCTTCGACTCAATTATGACGTTGCTCAACTTCGCTTTGGTTGGCACGCTGAGGACGTCCCTGGAAAACAGGGGAGCTTCGACGAGCCCAGGGAGAGGGGGAGGCAGGGAAAGGGGACGACAGAGACGACGACCAACGAATGACGGAGATGGCGACTTGCACGGACAAGCTCCGCACACACGCCGACAGGGTCGGCGGATTCCCCCCAGTTGTTCTAATGTGTTTCGCCTTCTGACGTTTTCCCGCTTACAACCTTAGACGATCGAGGATTTGGGGAGAGAGAGAGAGAGAGAGAGAGAGAGAGAGAGAGAAAACAAAAAAAAAAAAAAAACGCTTTTTTACCCGTCCTCTTGGACTCCTCGCGCGGCGCTTGCGCCACCGGTGCTAGGTTTGGTAGTAAAAAGCTGACCAGCCCTGACGGTTGCAGTAGGGAGGTCTGTCGGTAAGTGACGCCCCTGAAGGCCTCCTTCGTGCCCCATGGAGCCCCGAGGCCCCCTCGCTGTGCACGCATTCACATAAAGCGTTGCTGAGTGAATGAGTTCATGATATGACTGACGATAGCCGTTTTGGCACGAGGATCCGAGAGTGAAGAACGGTTCATGATCAGATAGTTGCTGTCAAGATGGTAGCGGAGCGTGGGTGAAGACCCGCTGGGCCACGGCAGGCCGCGATGAGCGCGGAGGCGCTCGCGGCAGAACTCCAGGATGCGAAACGGGAACTCTGACGGCTGCTCGGTATCATGGAGACACAGAACGCTACGATCGAGGAGCTCAAGGCCACGGGTCCAGAGAAAGAAGGGGGGCGGCTTCGCAGACAGCTCACGGCCGCGATCATCGGAGACAAAGTTAAGCTGCCGACGTTCGACAACAGCAGGAAACCATACTTCCACGATTGGAGTTACAAGTTCAAGGCTTTCGTGGGTAACCACGGCAGGAAGTGCTTGGAGGGGATGGCGCAGGTCGAGCTTAGCCAGAATGAGCTGAACTACGCGAACTATGATGATGAGGAGCGGAAACAGATGGCACAGTCACTCTTCTACCTGCTCACGATGTACTCAAAGGGCATCCCGCTCGGCATCATAAGGTGAGCAACCAAGACGGATTCGAGGCATACGGACAGCTGAGCTTCCATTACGACCCGCAGAAAATGGGTAGCATTCTCTCGAGACTGATGAAGGCGCTGGAGTTCGACTTCGGCGGCAAGGCAGAGCTCCTCGACAACATCGCAAAGTTCGGGATCCTGATCGAGGAGTACGAGAAGCTCCCCAAGGAACAGATCAGCGACAACATCCGCACGGCCGTCCTGATCGCACGCGCCCCCGAGGCGCTCAGGAACCACGCGCTGCTCGCCATGCCGAAGGAGGAGATCCAGTGGCCTCGCGCGAATAAGGTCGCCGGCGATTTCTTGCTCACGAAGCAGCCCATGCCAGGAGGCCCGACGCCGATAAACACAAGCGCCATCAACTCCGAGACGCGGCGGGAAGGCGGCAAGGGCAAGGACGGCGAGATCAAGAGCAAAGGTGAGGACGGTGGCAAGGGCAAGGACTAACCGCGAAGATAAGTGAGAAAACACCAAAAAAAGACTGGGGCCTCGACAACAACGGAAACTAATCATTATTCCCCGCCGCCGCCGACGACAACACCGACGACGACGACGACGAGGGGGAGGAGGATGGGGGGGGGAAGGGGAGGACGAGGAGATGGAGGAGGACGCCTTGAAACTCTGAAAGGCTGAATGCTCTGAACTTCACTGCTCTGAAACTCTCACTGCTCTGAAAATCATTGCTCTGAAACGCATCGCTCTGAAACTCAGTGCTCTCAAGCGCATCGCTCTGGAATTCATTGCTCTGAAACGAAACTCATTGCTCGAGAGCGCCCCCAAAGGCTCACTGCTCTGAAACTCTCACTCTGAAAGGCCAAGGGCCCACAACACTCACGACATGCATGCCAAGGAGATCTGTTCCTCGTCTTCCTGCTTCTCCTCCTCCTCCTCCTTCTCCTCCTCCTCCCCCCCCCCCTCCTCCTCCTATATTTCGACTCGCATTGCAAACCTTCGCGCGAACAAACTCGAAATGCCCTTCGCGTGGAGGGCAGCCCAGGAGGCACTGTCCGATGGGAGAACAAAACATGCCCACCATTATTCAACACGGCGCGCATTAGTGGGAAACTACTTATTCACCCTCCTCCTCTTCCTCCTCCTCCTCCTCCCTCCTCCTCCTTCTCTCCTCCCCTCTACCTCCCCTTCTACCCCTACTTCTCCTTCTGTGTTTCATTCCTCCTCCTCCCTTCCCCCCCCCCCCCCCCCCCCCCTCCTCTTCCTCCCCCCCCCCCCCCCCCCCCCCCCATCCGATGCATCGCTTCGCACTGCAAGCCTTCTTGCGAACAAGCTCGAAATTCCTTTTCGCGTGGAGGCAGCCCAAGAGGCATTGTCCGATGGGAGAAATAATCGTCCACCACTATTCGGCACGGCGCGCACACGAGTGGGAAACTAATTCCCCCCCTCCTCTTCCTCCTCCTCCTTTTCCTTATCCTCCTCATCCTCCTCCTCCTCTTCCTCCTCATCCTCCTCCTCCTCCGCCGCCTCCTCCTCCTCCTCCTCCTCCTGTTGGCTCATGTTGGCTCCATAGCAGTCTGTTACCGCTGGCCAAGCCTGCAATAAAGCTGCGAAAAACAGTGCTGGGTGAAGAAGTTGGATAATTAGATCCGAGAGGGGTCACGCCGCCTTGGACGCCCAGCACAACCCATCCCAGACCAGAGGGACCGACCTCCCCACAAACTTCTTTGTGCTGGGGTCGATCCCTCCCTTGAGCATCTTCAAAGAATCCTCTGCGTGCCGATTGCGCGGACCCCCGTGGCATTCCTGGAGGAGGTAGGGGCGGGCCCGAGCGCTTCCAAAAGCAGCGCAACGCACACACCAGGCGACCCTCCCCCCCATCAGCCACAGACGATGGCTCTTGTGGCAGGTCCGCGCAATCTTCGGTGGCCCTCCGCAGGGAAACACACAGACCGCGGCGCGAGTCTTCCCTCGCTCGCCGCAGTGGAGACACAAATATAAACCTTTTGCTACACACTCGATCGCATGGCCTCTCGTGTCTGGGACCAGCTCCAGGAGAGACGGCTTGGCCCGACGGGGCCTGCGGATTTTGGAAACGTCAGGAAAACCACGGGCCGATAAATCATCCACGATTTCTGCAATCAGCCACGCCGACTGCCGAATCAGCGGCTCCAAACCTTTAAACTGCACACGCGTCCAAGGTTTGTGGGGTTGGGCCTCGGCTCCACGACGGGCCAGTTCATCAGCCTTCCTATTACCCCGCCATTTCCAATCGTATACTGCAGACCTACGGGCCTGGGCCAGGGAGAGGTGAGACCTAATCTTAGTCACAGTAATCCTATCGGGGCCGATCTCAGTCGCAAGCCTGAAGATGTCCACCCAGAGCTCCGAGAAAGCAACCTTTTCCAGATCCTGAGTAGGTCCCAAAGTCCAGGTGTCCAGGACGGCCTTACAGTCTGTGACAATCTCCATGGCCCCTGGCCCCGCGAGCCTCAAAGCCATGACCAGCGCATACACCTCCCCGCAGCCGCTGGTCTGAACCGCGTGGGGCAGCGGTCCGAACGCAGACCCAGTAACATATCCTCCCCAAGAGTCCAGAGACATGGAGACGACCGCCCATCCAGCCCTCGTGAACTGAGGTAACTTGGGGTCCAATCCAGACCCATCCAGACATATTCTCGGCCCCAGGTGTCCCCCAGGAGGGAACACATCCCACTTGTGACCAGCTACGGTGTGCGGCGCTGGCCACTGCCACTCTGGACTCGGGGCAAGCGCACGGGTGACCAGCAACTGATTAGCGGGCGTGCAATCCAAGGCGAGAAGGTCACCCACACCAAGATCACGCCGAACAGCGGCATGAGCTGGGCAGCAGCGGAAGCGATGACTGGGCGTGCCCAGCCGCTCTCCACAGAGCTGGCAAAGGGGGTCCACAACACGACGATCATCATACAGAGTAAGCTGGGTTGGGTAGCCTCCAGAAACGATCCCAGCAAGTCCCGTGGCCGCCGTGAACCTTTCTTCTCCCCGAAGCTTCTGAAGGACCTCGATGACAGGTTCGGGCATAGGCCCTCCAGAAAGACCTGGGACTCTGACCCCATCTCCCAGACCTCTAAGCTGCATATCCCGAACAGACTGGTGAAGGACAACCTTGAGCGACCTGTATCCCAAGAAGCTCACATCCACTTCCACTCCCCGAAAAGTCACAAACTTACACCAGCTTTTTACCTGCCAACCCAGCCTTTCGATCGCGAGGACAACTGCGCCCGCGGGTCCACGGACATCTTGCCACCCACGAGCAGGTCGGTGATAAAATGAATTGAAACACTCCTCCATGACACGCTGCTCTGCCCAGCTCAAGCGAGCGGCTTGTCCCCAAGCAAGGATGGGCAACGCGTGCACATCATATGATGGATCCGCCTTGGGCTCCACCGAGAGGGGAAACTCCAACGTCCTGCACCTCCCTTTTGGCGTCCCAAAAAGCGCACTCCCCAAGCCAGCTCGAAGCTGACCAAGGGCGGAGGTGGACATACCATTGACGCGGCAACCGTACGTGGCCGAGGGAAGGCCTCCCGTCCGAGCAACCTTGAACAAACCCTTCTTGGCACTACTGAGCCCACGGAGCCTGCCTTTCCGAAGCCTGATTTTGTGCAACCGTTTTTGGAGGACCTTGGATCCCTTGGCTCCTTTCTGCATCGTCTGGTCGCAGCCCAGGTTCCGTCCAGAACTAGCACCAGTGAAACTCCACTTCTTAAGCCTAGACACAATGGTCACCCTCGCCGCCGAGTGACTGCAAAGGACGAGGCCCTTCGACCTCGAGATCACCAGCAGCAGCTTCTCGAGCTGCAGGCACAGAAAGTACACAGCACGGGGCAGGACGCTCTCGACATGTTTCCTACTGCCCGAAGCCTGCGCCGTGATGTCGTCTACTACATTGGGCAGCAGAGCTATCGGGCGAAAACCTCACTCGGGCTTCCCCAACATGGCGAGGATGGTAGTGAGGAGGATGGTGGGGTAGGTGCCCAAGAGCTCCATCTTAGGCCACAGCGCACCCAAAACCTCCAGCAGGCCATCCGAGGCCTTATCCAGGTCCCGAGGCCGAAGTGCATCCACCCCAGCCGCCGTCCTTTTCGGGAACTTCCTGATGGCAGCCCTGATGTCTCCCACTGACCGCTCCTCCGAACACAGCTCCTGGACCGAGACTCCCTGCTCGTCAGCCTGGGCCTGGATCTGGTGCGTCAGGAACTGGATGGGATCGGGGAACTTCGAGGCCTCTGGGAGGGGCTCCCAGATATCACACCAAAACTTGGCAAGCCCGTCAACCGTCTCTTGTGGTCCTTGCCAGCGCCAGCGGACACAGCCTCCTGCACCCACTCGCGCCAACGCTTGCCCCGCTCCGAGGTAAACTTGCGTTCATACACTTTGGCGAAGCCTTCTGCCTCATCGCCCCAGGCCTGCAACTGCTCGAGGGAGGCGTGAAACAGACGTCCAAAAGACGGGACCCACTGCTGCCAGGACGTGCCTTTGCGCAACTGATTAGGTCCCCACTCGACCGCCTTCAGAAGCCCCATAGACTCGCCTTCACCCCATCTGAGTCCCCGTCTCTTGAGGTAAACCAGCTCCGAGAAAAGCTTGGAAACGCGACGCCACCCACGACTCTCAGGACTTCCGACGGGATACCGACCTCCAGACGTCCTGACAGCTGATACTTTCACAATGGTAGGCCCCACCGCTCTACCAAAGTACTGCTTCTGATCCAAAACTCCGTGATAGGTTCCAAGCTCACGTTCCAGCGACTCGGCGAAAACCCGATAGCACGCATCCAACGACTCACGATCCCCAACCGATCGAACAGAGCCCAGGAGCTCCCGATAATCGAGTGGTTCTGGCATGGGTCCTATCACAATGTCCTGCGGGAAGGCCCTCGGCTGGCGGAGCGACTGGACCAGCACGCTCAAGGGCTCGCTGCGAAATTTGACCACGACGGGCCAGTGCGGCTTCGTCGACGCCTTCCTACTGATGGCACAAGAATGGACGCTGGCCGCCAGACCTGCAGACATCACAAAGTAGTCAATCGTTTTCCAGACCTTGGCAGTGGACTTACACGTGTAAGACGCTGGCTTCACCATCTGTCCCCCGAGACGGCCAGCCCACCCCAACTCCTGGAGTCTATCTGGCGAAACGTTCCAGTCACCTCCAAGGACAAACGGTAAGCCCCAAGAATGTAACTGCTCTCCGATTCTATTCAAAATTTGGCCCCCAGTAAGCCCCACTGGGTCCTGGTCGGGCAAGTAGATGGACCCAATGATGAGCCCCCCTGGCACATACGCGTTGACCCACATCAGCTGCTGGCGATGCGGGCTCGGCAAGCGCTTGACGTCCGTCGGCGGCATGCCCAGCCCGACGAAATCCCTGCACGCAACCGTGACGCCTCCTGACAGGCCTCCAGCCTCGGTGACCTCCGACGGGCGAAGGGACGCCTGCCAGCCTAGCTTTTTCAACTGAGCTTCGCAATCCACTCGATCCGACGGGTCAACAGTTAGTTCCTGAAGCATGACGATATGACTCGACGCTTCCCCCTGGAGAGACTGCTTTGCCGAGGACCAAGCCGTGGTATTACAGGCTTCTAGACAGAAAAACTCTCCCTGGCGAGACCTGGCCGATTTATTCTTAATCTGCCCTGGCTGGGCTAGCCTACTCTTACGAACAGCTTGGGGCCCTGTAAGAGGCCAGGCACTAGGGGGAAGAGGAAGAGCTGGGGACGGCAGATCGGGGAGGTGGGATGTCGGCGGGGGCGGGGGCCAAACCAGCGACCGAAAGAAGATCCCAGGCGGCCGCGAGGGGCCAACCGCCGCATTGCCCCACCAGCAAGTGGGGCAAGGCAGGCCGCTACCCACCAGACGTTTTCCCTTGGGCCCCTCCTGCCGCCCCAGACGCGCCTGGGACGCCTCCAGCTTCCCTTCCAGCACCGCTTCCTCCTCCCTTGCTGCCGAGAGCCTCGGCGGCCCTAGCACGCACGTCCACCTTGGGAGAGCTGGCAGTGGCTCCGCCACCGCCCGAGCCTCGCACAGGGCTGTCAGGGGCGCCAGGGCCTCCAGCAGCAGCAGCCGCTGGAGGAGCAGCACCACCAGGCGGCTCAGCACAGCGCTGCCCGCCGCCCCCGGAGTTGCCCTCGGCGCCCTTCCGCTTCTTCTGCAACCTGCTGACGTGCGCGGAATGCTCCTGACGCAACTTCTCCGCGGTCTCCTTGGCTCCTCCGAATAGCTGCTTCGCCATGCCCTGCACTCCTTTGCGCAGCTGCTCCTTCCTGGCAGCTGCCTCCTTCTTGTCCGTGTCGGTGAACTCATAGATGTCAGCAAGTCCGAAGAAGTCGTCGCAGCCGTCCAGGTCGATGCACGACGTGTCTCCTGCAAGCAACTGCTCCAAATTGATCTTCGGTGCCGCGGGCTGGTCGCTGTGGGCCTGGCTGTACATGGCCCTGAGCAAACCCTTGTACTCGTCGTCCGCGTCGCCAAGCTTCGTCTGCAGCAGCTGGACCTCCGTCTCCTGGTCTGCGACCGCCCGGCGTAGCCGACCCAACTTGTCGATTGCTGCCTCCAGCACCTTCTCAAGATGCACGATCTGCGCGTGCGCTCGGTGCGCACGCACCTGCAGCGGCGGTTCCTTCGGCTGGACCGCCTCCTTCTGCTTGAACTCCAATAGCTTCTGGTACTTGGTGACCATCACGTGGTCACCCGTCTCAGTGCCAAGGCTGATGAGCTGCTGGATCTCGGCCACCGAGAGCTGCGCGCCCCCGTTGCCCAGGCCAGGGGGGGGGGGGGGCTGCAAGCCGACCGAGCGGGGCGGGACGTCCGCCGCGAGCATGCCCTCCTCCTCGGCGACGGGCTCGTTCCAGGCGACGCGGCAGCGCACGCAATACCAGGAGCTCCAGCCGTTCTTCTTACAACCACAGAGCTGACACTGCCACTTCCGATGGGGCCCCTTCGAACCTCCTCGCTTGTTGCTGCCACGCTCGTCAGCCCAAGACACACTCTTCTGGTGTCCGCCTGCTGCATCTCCCCAAGCCATGAGAGAGCTCGAACAGGAATCTTGGGCCACAAGGTGTGGCGAGTATGCGGGTAGGTAGGACCCTCACCCTGGGCAGGGCCACTGATCGAGGGTCGCGCGGGTCTCTGACCAGCTTTAGCCAAATGGCTTGAGCCAAAATGGCTACGGACCTCCTCCTCCTCCTCCTCCTCCTCCTCCTCCTCCTCCTCCTCCCCCTCCCCCCCTTCCTCCTCATCCCCCCCCCCCCCCCTTTCATCCTTCGACTTTGATAAACGGAGGAGGAGGGAGGAGGACGAGGAGGACCAGGGGGAGGAGGAGGATGAGAAGGAGGAGGAGGAGGGGGCAAGAGGAGGAGGAGGAGGGAAGGAGAGGGAGGAGGTTACTTAACATACCAGGCAGCGAACTCAGCCGCATGGCCCCACGTCGACCACAGTCACGGCCACCTGGCCTGCAGAGGGGGGGAGGAGGAGGCCTGAGGAGAAGGAGGAAGAGGCTTGAGGTGGAGGAGGAGGAGGAGGAGGAGGAGGCCTGAGGAGGAGGAGGAGGAGAAGGAGGAGGAGGCTTGTGGAGGAGGAGGAGGAGGAGGAGGAGGAGGATGTTATGGAGGAGTAGGAGGAGAAGGAGAAGGAGGAGGAGGAGGAGGAGGAGGAGGAGGAGGAGGAGGGGGGAGGGAGGAGAGAGGACCCGTTTATTCACCGCCGGAAGCTCCAGGGGGGGGGTCAAAATTATAGACATTTACAGGATGGCAAGCACGACGATAAGAAGCTCAACGGACATTGCGGCCGATGCGGAAAGTGGGGACATCGCCAGCGGGACTGCTACGCCAGATTCAACAACGTCACGTCGACGGATGGGAGAATACAGCTGGAGCGAAAGTCCGAACTGGAGTGCGACCTGGGACACCGCCGGCAGTACGAGGGACAACGGCGACGCGGCGGCCAGCGGCCAGTAGGACGAGTCGAAGGTGAATGCAGGTGCCGTCACGTGCCGTGCGTGTGAGGACGAGGCCTGAGCGTTTGCCGTCGGCGGCGTCGAGGGCCCTGTCAGGACGCGTGCTGGAGAGATCGTCGACATCATGGTGGACACAGGCGCCAACAAGTCGGTGCCCAGACCTAGAGATTTCCCCGACTACCCGATCATGCAGGATCGCAAGCTGGAGATCAAGGTTGCGAATGGCGCGTCCCTCAAACACTACGGAGACAAGCAGGTGAACCTGATGACCGAAGACGACGAGGACACCAAGGTGAGGTTTCACGTCACTGAAGTCACAAAACCGATCCTCAGTGTCAACTGCATCAACAAGGCAGGAGCTGGGTTGGATTTCCCACCACCGGGCTCGACGGGCCCACCCTCGATCACGCGGGATTCGAGGAGGGGGCGATCACGGCTGGGGCTTAAGAGGATGTTCGGGCTGTTCTTCCTGCGCGCGACCTTCCTCAGCTACGCCCAGACGAAGCTCGGTGTGGACGGACTGGTCATTAACAACACGGCTACGGAGAACCCAGACTAGCACGTCGCGGCGTTGATGGACGAACCAGTGGAGCCGACGGTACGACCTGAGGCAGAGGTGGTGGCGGTCCCGAACGAGGCTACGAAGGCGGAGAGAGACGCCCATGAAGCTCTCCAGTGTCCGCATGCAGCGCGGTGCACGGAATGCGTCGCAGGACGTGGCCTGGACAACAAACACGAGAGGGTCAGGGAGATCGACGCTCTTCCCGTGGCCCGAATAGATTATATGTTCGGCAAGACGCGGCACGACGAGAAGGCGCACCCAGTCATGAACGCGATCGACAATGCGTATGACGCCACGGCATCGATATGGTGCGAGGCGAAAGGAGGTGGAGATTTGTTCGTGATAAAGAGTCTGAAGCGGCATGTGCGGAGGCTCGGGTTCTAGCAGGTCATCTTCCAGCGTGACCCCGCGAACGCAGCAGCAAGGGACGCAGCGGCGAAGGTGGCGACTGACTTGAAAATGAATTCCAGGTCCACCCCCAAGGCGAGCAAGGGCAGCAACGGCACGTTGGAGCGATTCTACTCTTTCATCGAGGGCACGCCGAGGACCTGGAGGAGGGCCATCGGAAGAAAGTACGGGATCGTGATCGAGCCGCGGCATCCCATCATGGCCTGGATCGCGCGGCACGCCTCCTGGACGCACGATCGGTTCCTCGTCCACCGCTCCGACTACAAGACCTCGTTCGAGCGCCAGCACGAGAGGCACTGCGACAAGAAGGCCCGCCACTGGGCGAGACGGTCATGCGGCGGCAGCCTGGGCCCATCGCCGCGAAGTTCGAGACCGCCCGGGGCTGCGGCATCTACCTGGGGCCTTCGCTGGAGGACGACCAACGCATCTGCGGCGCGCGACGCGGCATCACCCTGGCGAGACCGGCCCGACGGCTGGTGGAGAGCGAGCGGCACGACAAGCAGTTGTTGCTCGCGATGAAAGGCATCCCTGGGGATACCCGCCCGACCAACGCGTCGGCGCCAGTGGTCGACAGGGTCGCCGAGGCCTTGGACTTGAACCAGCCGAAGCCCACCAGGCCTCCCCGGCCCGAGGGCGCCGCGGCGCAGGAGGGGCAGGCCGACCAGCCTCGGCCAGCCAGGCCCTAGGCGCAGCGAGAGGGTGACTCGGCAGCTGGCGCCGCGCCAGCCGCCGACGAGGGCGCGCGCGATGAGGAGATGCGCTATGACGACGCGGAGGACGGCAATGCCTTGCCGGACACGACGTCCAAGGAGTTCACGCCAGGTTGCAGTGGATGCTTGGGCACATCGCACCGACCCTCGATCTATCGCCTCCAGAGGAGGAGACTGACCCCCCGAGACACACGCAGCAAGCGGGCTGCTGGCGAGAGCTCGGCTGCGCCAGATTCGAAGCGCGCGGCAGTCGAGGAAGCTAAAAGCGCCGCTGGCAAGCGGGCCAGCGAGGCGCCCGCGGAAGGCGAGGCGCGCGAGAAGGAGAGGAAGGTCCAGGCGGTGAAGGTTGGCAACGTGATGGTCGCCAACGCTATGGGCTACCCCGAGGGCACCGAGCTCTGCGCCCCGTGCGAGCTCGACCCGAACTTCGAGCTGCTGAACGAGGCCTACTACGACGACGACAACGACGACGGCGAGCAGCTCGACATGGACCAGGTCCGCGAGGGCATCGAGCGAGAGGCGAAGTTCATGGAGTCGCTCGACATCGGCGAGGTGGTCGAGCGCCCACACGGCAAGAAGGTCTGGGGCACGCGATGGTGCCACTGCAAGAAGGGCGACGGCGTTAGGAGCAGGTTCGTCCTGAAGCAGTTTAAGGATGCGCAGGCAGGCGACTTCCTCGCTTGCGCCCTCCTCACGGAGGCCGCGCCTGCGCCGATGGCGGCGGCGACGATGCTCGAGCACAGCATTGCGACGACGGACTCCAGCGTGACTTTCACGCACACGCCAGTGAAGGAGGACGCCGAGATCTATGCGGGGATGACGCCTGCGTACGGGATGGGTTACGGCTTCGTGTGGAAGCTGAGCAAGTCTCTCTACGGGCTCAGGGAGGCGGCGCTCAGGTTTCAGGAGCTCTCGGGCGCATCGCGGTCGGCCTTGGCTTCGAGGCGCGCAATGCCGAACCCGCCATCTACCGCCACAGGGAGAAGGGCATCAGGGTCGTTGTCCACACAGACGACCCCCTTGCCCCGGGCCCGACGCAGGGCGTGCACGACGAGTTCTTCGACGAGCTGGCCAAGCATTATGCGATCCAGGGGCGGCGCGTTCCAGGCGAGGACCCCGTGATCAACTTCGGTTCGTCGTTGCAGCAGTTCGGGGGCGTGGTCGTGGAGAAGAGCAAGCCTGTCTACGTGGAGAGCATTGTCAAGGCCGCGGGGACGCCGTGCTGCAAGACGGCGGGCACTGCGGGGGCGAGGCCAGACCTCGCACAGCCTGGAGCCGAGCAGCTGCTCAAGAGCGAGGAGCACGCGCTGTGCCAGGGGTGCCGCGGGACGATCCAGTTCGCCACCCCTCGGAGGCTGGACGCGACGCACCCGCTGAAGGAGCCGGGCAGGCGGCTGAGCGAACCACGCTCGGCCGACATGAAGTGCCTGAAGCACCTCCGCTACCTCAGCGGGACGATCGACCTGGCGATGGTTCATTGCTCTTCGCGAGACTGGAAGCGTCTGCGAGGGAGCACGGACTCGGACTGGACTGGATGTCCGGAGACACAGAAGTCGACGGCTTGCGGGATCGTGCGATGGCGCAGCGCGGCCGCGAGTGCCTACGCGCGCACGGAGTCGGTCTTGGCCCAGTCGAGCCCTGAGGCCGAGTACCAGGCGGCGGTGGAGCTGGCGGCGGAGATGCTGTACGTCCGCGAGCTCGTCAGGTTCATGGGCTTCGAGACGTCCCGGGAGATCGAGCGCGACGCCTCCTCTGCCATCGCGATCGCCTCGCGACGAGGTCTCGGCAAGCTGGGCCACCTGGAAGTCGAATGGCGTCGGCCCCAGCAGCTCGTCGGAACGGGGCAGATCAAGATCCCGAAGGCGAAGGGCACGGAGAACCGACCCGACGTCGGCGCGACGTTCCTGGGCAAGGCTGCGCTGGAGAAGTGCCGTTCTATGCTGGGCATGACGCCCGTTGGGATGTATGGCGCTGGGACTGCGGCGGCCCTGACGGCGACAGGGGGGGCACGATACATGGCAGCGTTCATGGCGATGGTGAACGCGGCAAGAGCCGAGACCGCGACCACGGCAACTACGACGGCCACTACGACTGCACCGGAGGTGCACGTGATGATTGCCCCGGTCGGGTCGGGGTTCTGCATGCTGACGGGGATGATGCTCGCGATCTGCGGCACGGTTTTGCGACAACAACAAGGGGTGGCGAGCGCGAGTGCTGGTGCTACGACGCAGGTGGAGCCTGAGCAGGAGCGGGAGCCAGATCCGCCCGCGCCTGCGAGTCGAGCGCCACCCCCAGACGACGAGACGCACGGCGGTCCACTCGTTGGCGCGGCGCAGCGGACTTCAAGGGCATGCCAGGCGATTGATTCCACGCGCTGGCTGCCTGATCTGCACGAGGCCCGTGCCAGTCGGCACGCCGCAGATGTTTCACACCAGCACCGAGGAGTCCGCGATCCACGCTGACGAGAGCTGCCGAGGCCTTCGGCCAAGGAAGCACCGCATGATCTCGAGGCGGGCGTGCGCGCTGTGCTTTGCACGGTGATGCTCGCGCCCCTTCCGCGAGCCCTCCCACCATGTCTGCGATGGCGCGCTCATCGCGCCGCTCGCCGAGGCTGGAGAAACGTGTGTGATTTGCGGGCCCCTCGGCAACAGGCTCGAAGAGGGGTGTCGGTAAGTGGCGCTCCTGAAGGCCCCCATCGGGTCCCTGGAGCCCCGAGGCCCCCTCGCTGCACATGCATGTCACATAAAGCGTTGTTGGGTGACTGAATTCATGAATGATTGGCTATTACCGTTTTGACACGAGGATCCGAGAGTGAAGAACGATACATGATCAGATAATTGCTGTCAAGAAGGTCTCTTGCGAGAAGAAAAGTAGGGAGATCTCCTTCTCCAAGCTGCGCAAGCTAAGGGGGACCTAGTCCCTGGGACTGAGCTCCGTTGTGAAAGAGCGCGCCCTCTGTAGAGGTTGGGGGACGATTGGATGAGTGGATCCAGTGGAGGATATGAAGAACCTCGGGACCCAGTACACATTGCCTGCTGAAGTTGCCGCATTTTTCAATTAGTATATCTTGCTGCACGCGCGCTGCGCGACGCCATCTCCGTGCGTGCGCGGCCGGTCCATCTGTGCTCTGAGGCTGGACCTTGGCCTCGAGGCGGACAGGGTCAATATCAGTACCTCTCTCCTTCTCCCTTCGTCCTGCCCCCTCCTCAAGTGCGAACGCTGCTACATATCCCAGAAACCGTGGCCAGGGGGATGGATGTTGGCGATGAGCGGGCTGGGTGGGGGAGGAGGGCCGGACACACTAGTGCAAGGGCGGCCTGCCATTGCACGTGTTCCATCTGTCCGAGACAAGGGCAGCTTCTCGTTTCAAGCAGCAGGGATTTTGCAAACGGCTGGTTTCTGCGGACATCCGCATACAGCAGTGCCACGCCCTGGAAGAGAAAAAACAAACAAACAAACAAACAAACAAACAAACAAACAAACAAACAACTTGGGGGCCGTTTTGAAGCCTCTTGCGGCCTCCTGGGGGGCCTCTTGGAGCAGAGGGCTCGAATTGTCGGTTCGTGTTCCCCCTCTGTGGCCTTTCGAGGGACCGTTTTGGGGATATCTTGGGCCGTCTTCAACGTCCTCAAGGTTTTCTTGGAGCATTCTTGGGCCGTCTTGGGGGCTTCTTGGGCCATCTTGGGGCAGTATCCCCGGCTTCGCGGCCGTCTTGGAGGGTCGAAAGCTCGAAAAGGCGAGAACCCAAAACACATTGGACAACCTTAGCATCATCAATGTTTTGTTTGCCTCTCGATGCCCTCTTGGGGTCTTCTTTTGGGGCTCCTGGGGCCTGCTGGGGGCATCTTGGGGCGGAGGGCTCGAATTTGTTGTTCGTGTCCCCTGTTTGGGGCCTTATTTGAAGCTGTCTTGGAGCTCTCTTCTCTGGGGCCGTCTCGGGCGCCTCTGGTACCATGTTGGAGCCCTCTTGGGCCGTCCTGGAGCTTTGTATGGAGGCCTCTGGAGCTGTCTCTCATGGTGCCAACATCGCAGAGCTGATTTCGTTCTGAAAACGATAGGTGGCCCAGGGTGTCCTGGAGAATTTCGTTCCGTATTTCGATGTGAATTTCGTGCGGATTCTTTTTGCCCAGGAATGAAGATCAAAAAGAATCCACGCAAAATTCACTTCCGGTGCAATGAGCTGTCTCGGAGCAGTATCGGGGGCTACTTTGGTTGTCTTGGAGCGCCCGAAGCTCAGAAAGGCGAGAACGCAAAAACATTGAAAGCCCGGCTGGAGATCAATGATTGTTGACTCTCGGGGCCCTCTCTGTGGCCTCTTTGTGGCCTCTCGGCTTCTCCACGGGGCGGACTGCTCGAAGTGTTGGTTCGTGTTCCCCCTCTTGGGACCTTCTTGGGGCCGCTTCGGAACCCTCCTGGGCAGTCTTGGGCACCTCGTGGGCCGTCTTGGAGCCCTTTGGGGCCTTGCCTCTGCGGCTGTATTGGGGTTCTCTTGGGGGACGTCGGAACCCCAAGAGGCCCAAACGTCTTTGGGCCTCTGGGCCTCGTAAAGGCGAGAACCCCAAAAGCCTTCAACCTCGAATGAGAATATCTGGCCTGTTACCAGCCTCGAACGTATCCCTATCCTTAAGATTGACACGCCAAAAGGCGATGACAATCTTAGGGATTCGCCCTCAAAAAATAAGGGAATCCCTAAGATTGGCAGCGTGATGAGGAGGTGCCCAGCATAGGGATAGGGATATGTTCCAGGCTGGTAAGCCTGTGCCTCTCGAGGCCCCCTCTCGGGAAGGCTCTTAGGGGCCATCTTGGGCTCCTGGGGCGGCTTTGAGGCCACCTCGGACCACCTGGGAGGCCAACGTGGGCCGTCGTGGAGCCACGGCTGGGCCGTCTGGGAGGCACCTCGGCCCCTGGAGCGCGAATCGGAGCGCGAACCGGTTGCACTTCGCAGGGGACTGCGGCCTCGAGGAGAGGGGGCGACTCATGCAGGGCAACGTGACGAGAGGGGGGGGCGGGCATGCATGCTGGACAGAGACCCTGTCCGGCAGCACTTGGCACTCCAGCACGCCTCAACGTGCCGGGGGGCACGATGGCGGACGACAGGAAGCGCGCGCGAGGTGCGAGGAGCGTGGACCGTCTCAAAGAAATCTTTTCATGGGGCTCCGCGCTGCACTTCGGACAGGCGTGGGCGGATTTCAAACTAGCCGTTTCGCTCGAGACATCCTCAAAAAATTGGCCCCGGAGGGGACTCCGAATCGACATCGTCTTAGAATCGATCCCGGAGGGCTTCGATCGGCCCAAGGAGGCCCAAAAAACGCCCCAGAGGGCCCCAAGAGCTCCCCAAGAGGACCCCACGAGACCCCCAAGAGCGTTCCAGACAGCTCACAAGAATCCCAAAACGGCCCAAGACGGGCCAAGAGGGCCCCAAGAGCCTCCCAGGAACGCCCCAGCCCCAAACGGCCCAAGAAAGCCCCAAGACGGCCCAAGATGGCGCCGAGACGGCCCAAGAAAGCTCCCAGAGAACCCCACGATGCGCCCAGACAAACCAAGAAGACCCCAGAAACCCACACGAGGACCCAAGAGGCATTCAAGAAGCCCCCAACAGACCCGAAGACAACCCCGCGCGGCGCCAGGAGCCCCCCCCGGGTAGCTCGATAAGGTCACCAGCACCATCTTTTGATTCAACATCTTTCTCCAATTGCCTCTTACTGTCCTGCGTCGTCGTCGTCATCGTCCTCCGCATTCCTCCTCGTACTCGCCCTTGTTCTCTTCGTCCTCGTCCTTGTGCTGATCTTCCTCCTCGATGTCCTCATGCTCCTCCTCGCTACCCTCACGTTCTCCACGTCGTCCTCGTCATCGCCTCCTCGCAGCCCGCGCCTTCCTATTCTTCTTCGCCGCCGCATGCGCCCACTGGACTACAGCGGCGCCTCCCGTTCTTGTCTGATCAGGCTGCGAGGTGCCGTGGCCACCTTGAGCCTTCTCGGGGCTGCTTGGAAGCAGAATCGAGGCCGTCGAGGGCCAACTTGGTCCGTCGTTGCCTCCTAGCCAGGGCGATGCCAGGCTGCCTCGCATCACGGTGGCGCCACGAGGAGCAATCGTGGGGCGGTCTCTCGCCTTGCCCCGTACAGTCGAGGCGCTGAAGAAGGAACCCTTTTCGTTGGGGAGGGGCTCGGTGTTCCGTGATTGTTTCACAGCTTGCCTCAGGTTTTCCTTATGTTTTCGATGGGAAATCGAAGGTGCTTAAGTTGTGGAAAAAAAGGGGCCTCGTTCCTTATTTTGGGTTCCTTATTTTGGGGCGTCTGGTCACTGCCGTTGCCTGTGTGAAGCAGTTTGGGATCGCATGTTTCTGCCGATTCGCATGAGCATGCAGCGTTCGAGCCTCTCATTCGGACTGGTTCGGTGTCTTCCCGCTTCGCCTCATCCTTATCGTTATCGTCCTTTCAACTTACAGGTTGCCGTCTCGGCCGCCGAACCTGAAAAAACCAGAGGACATTCGCGGAATCGGAATTTGAGGTGTAAGCGGCCCTGACGGCCGCACATAAAAATGGAGAGTGATAGAGAGACATGGAAAGAGAGAGAGAGAGAGAGAGCGAGAGAAAGAGCGAATGCGAGAAAGACTAAATATGTACAGAGACAAATCGAGAAACCTGGAAAGAGAGAAAGAGACGAAGAGGACGAGAGACACAGAGAGAGAGGGATTCTCTCCTCCCCCCATCCGCCCGCCCACCCACCCCACATCCCACCTGCCCACCCTCCGCACTGCTCTCCATCCGATCCGTATTCCTCATTCCTATGTACCCCTACTCTGCCACCTAGCTCACCGATAGCCGCCAGATCAGTGACCTCTCATCTTACTTGGCTTAGAAATGCAAAGTTTACATGGGCGCTTTTTTGACATGGACAGTGTGGCGTCCATGTCGCAAAACGCGTGGCTGGAACGGGACGGGGCACACATCCCGCGCGAATGGCCGAAGTGTCGACCTCGCGTCGGCGCCGCGCTCACGTTTCTAGAGAAGTGAGCTCCCGCGTGGGCGCGGCGCACAGTTTCCGCGCGCAGCTTCGGCAACACGCGAGCGGGCGAAGATGTCGTCCTCGCCTGGGCGCCGCGCGGGTTCCACGCGGGCGCGGCGCGGCTTTGCGATATTCGCCAAGTGGGGC